CGTTTGTCCCTCTTTCAGCTGAAAGCAGAGTGTTATCAAAGAACCACCTTACTCTGAGGGAAGCGGATATAGTGGTACCTCGGGATGCGAACGGGATCCGTTCCGGAGCCCAGTTCACATCCTGAATGGAACGTAAGATAAGATGGCGGGTCTGCACGTGCCGCGTTTTGCCGCTTCCACGCATGACATAATTTTGAGCGTCTGCGCATGGGGCAAAACCCGGAAGTAACGCGCTCCGTTACTTCCGGGTTGCCGCAGGACGCAACCCGAAAGCGCTCAACCTGAAGCACATTCAACCCGAGGTATGACTATCTAGTTTTCAGAAAGACACCCCCAACTTGTTTTATCCATTTTATTAGTTTTAATCCAACACCTACAAATTTGGTGTTTGAAGAACACATTATCTGGATGCAAAGTAGTAGTACTCCTGTCATCTTTGGGACAGTGTCCTTCTTACAAAAGTTGTGCTACTTTCTTCTCCAAAACAATTGTCTCCCCATACCATTACAACAAGAACAAGCAAAATATTTTGCTTTATATATTTTCACTGTTCACTTTTGGCAATGGAAGCCAAATAAAAAGGTTGTGTATAACAGCAAGGTAAAGGTAAAAGTACCCCTGCCCGTATGGGCCAGTCTTGACAGACTCTAGGGTTGTGCGCCCATCTCACTCAAGAGGCCGGGGGCCAGCGCTGTCCGGAGACACTTCCGGGTCACGTGGCCAGCGTGACATCGCTGCTCTGGCGAGCCAGAGCTGCACACGGAAACGCCGTTTACCTTCCCGCTAGTAAGCAGTCCCTATTTATCTACTTGCACCCGGGAGTGCTTTCGAACTGCTAGGTTGGCAGGCGCTGGGACCGAGCAGCGGGAGCGCATCCTGCCGCGGGGATTTGAACCGCCGACCTTTCAATCGGCAAGCCCTAGGCGCTGAGGCTTTTACCCACAGCGCCACCCGTGTCCCTCATAACAGCAAGGAGAGCAATGCAATTCTTTCATACCCTTGATGAGTCAATGAATGATGAGTCTATGAATCGGATCTTATGCTATGGTTTACACAGTAGTTGCTGCAGTTAAGAGATACTGCAAAGATATATTTCTTGCTGGAAAGAGGAAAAACTGGTTCAATCTTCATGGCGTCAGTGCAGACTAACACATGATAGCACATTACAATGACCAGGAGCTGCAAAAAGGTTTCCTCCTTCTGCTCAGCAGCAGAAGGAATTTATGGCTGTGACCTGTAAGGAAATCTTTGCATTGCTAAGAGATGGCTAAGCTGTAACTTTCTATATTCCAGGGAAATTCACCTCCACACCAAGTCTCTGTGTCTAAGGTTTTGTGCGCATTATTCATCATCACCTTTGTTAAAGCTTTGCTTTCAACAATAAACAAATTAAAGCATATATACAATCAAACCAGAAATGTAATAGTATCCTTGATGTTATAAAGGCATTTGTGTTATTCAAGTCAGTCAGTTTTACTTTTAATAGCGATACTAACAAAACAGAAGGCTTTCTTACTTTTACTTTGCTTTGACATTCCTTAGGGTCATTTTATTCCAGCAAGAATGGGTTGCTTCTTGTCATTAATATACTGTTCACTATTAGTACAGCTGCAACATTTAGCCAAGTGTTAATGAACCAAAGGGTTCGTATGTGAGCAGCAGAAAAGAATTACATACCCTTCACTGTGCATCTCTCATGCGCTCCAAAGAATGTCATCAGTTTCCTGCAAACTGTAAATTCACTTTCACTAGGATGAGGACCTGATGCCTACAAAGTGCCACAACTGGTGTGTCATTGTACCATCTTTTAAGAAATAATAGACTGGCAGTTCTTCAAAGATGGAAAGCTTGCCTTCAAAAAGGTGTTACTGGACTTTATCCAACAGAAATTAGTATTACAAGCCTACAGTACATAAGTCAGACGGGGGACTGTGATATCCCACTGCTGAAGACGCAACTCATTGGAGATTATTTAGCTTCATTTCAATCACATTATGGCATGGGAAAGGCCTAAAGAATGTGCTTGGCTCAAGCTGTAGGTTTATCTTTGTTTAGCTCATACAGTATTGGGTTATTCACCTATGATTAGGCCATATATATTAGGAGTGAGGAGCTTAGGGCAGCTGAAAGATGGTTAATAGAAGGTTGCCTCTTAGCCATGAAGCTCAAAGGGCCTAATTCAGCAGAAGACCTACATATTGTCTCTATATCTCTTAAGTCTCACTTTTTAACACTCTCTCTCTCTCTGAACACACCCCTTTGTGGCTTCCCTCAATTACAAGCAATCTGAAAAAACAGAAGATTAATACATTGCATAAGACATTATAGAAACAAATAAAAATGAATTTATAAATCTCAAGATGCTATGGATGCCTTATATGAACTGTACATATATGCTTGCACTGTCAAAATAGTCTGCAAATAAGTAATAACTAATGACAATAAAGCTTGACTTCATATTGCAAAATAAGTACAGTATTTGTTCCAAAATTTGGAAGCAACCACAAAGGACTGACATATTTTATCTGAAATTCATCAGAACAAACAGTACTTTAAGGACTGGACTACAATTATTATTGTTAACTGAAACTCAGAATACATCAACCAACCACAACAATCTTGCTTATTAGAGAAGTTTGCAATGGCTGGATCCAGTCATCAAATTATGCTTTGACAACTGGAAACACCTCCTTAGCTTGAATATGCCTCCCTCCCACAGTTTAGATAACCCAACCTAAAAACTCTAATCTAAACTCTAATGAGCCTGTAACATGTTTCTCAGTATAACCTAATATAAACTACAGCAGAAACCCTCAAAAGCCTGGAGATGAAGTATAGAGTAATGTACAGCAGCCAAGCTACAAATGGATGACTTTTCCAAAGATTAATGAACTCTGGGAAAGAGTGCATATGAGCATGATCCTTTATGTAAGCCCATGCAAATACACTGTGGGGTCAAAATAGAAGCCAACAACTATCATGAAAAGGGCAGTAAGTTTTATTCTACACATTAAAAAAACATACCCATGCATTTGATAAAAGCATTCCCTTTCTTGGCCAAATGTACCCAAAATATAAACCAGAGCTCCATTACTTTGCAAAATTCTGAAATAGCACCTTACAATCTGCAGGACAGGTTTACAAACTTTTCCTCTACTAGGTATCCTAAAGAGAGTATCTTGCTCAAGATAGTACTACACTCACTAATAAGCCTGTAGTATGTCAACCAACCCATTCTGCCTATCCAAGTTTGTTTCTTAAATGATGTAAAATGTTTATAAGCATACCCTGTGAGTCATGTGTTTTTCTGGAAAAGATGTACATTTTAACTTTGCGAAAGGTGTTTTTTAAAATTCCTAAATAGCCATATGAGCTGCAGCTGGAACACTACAGTCATACCTCTTGTTATGTTCGGTTCAGGTTACGTTCTTTCAGGATACGTCCTGCGGCGACCAGGAAGTAATGGAACAGGTTACTTCCAGGTTTCGCTGCCCGCGCATATGCTCAACATGACGCCACACACATGCGCAGAAGTGATGAATTGCAACCCGTGCGTGCACAGGTTGCGTTCTGCTCGTGTTGTGAACGGGGCTCCGGAATGGATCCCGTTCACAACCAGAGGTACCACTGTATAAGAAATTCTCAGATGACTGTTATGGCCCAGTTGTTTGAATTTACTGCACTAACAAGTAGGTGCTTAGAATGCAGCATACCAACTATGCCAGTACATGGTTCCTAAACATAAATGTTCAAAAAAAACAACAAAAAACAGCTATTAACAGTATTCCAGTCTGAGAAAGCCCAACTACATGGACCTCTGCTCTTAAGAAACTTGATGCCCCTAAGCCAACTTCTACTGAGGGGTTTCAATGCAACTTTGCTGTTTCTCCTGCCCCATTAAGCCCTTCTGTCAAATCCAAAAGCTTTTCACCAGAACGTCCTCCTCCAGTTTTGCTGACACCCTCACCTTCCCTAACCCCCCTTTACATCTAATCTTAAAACCATTAGCTGCCTCAGTTTCAGTCATACCTGATAAGTTATACCTGGAAACACTTAGCATAAAACTATGAGCACTCAACTTGCATGTCCCAGTACATAAATTGGGTAGAAGGCGGTGGCTGATGCCCACTTTCAAATTCTATTCCATCTTCATATCCTGTTCTTCTCGCAAGATTCTTATTCTTCTTCTGTATTTCTCATATCTGATTTATTGCCATATACAGTGGTACCTCGGGTTAAGTACTTAATTCGTTCCAGAGGTCCGTTCTTAACCGGAAACTGTTCTTAAGCTGAAGCACCACTTTAGCTAATGGGGCCTCCTGCTGCTGCCGCGCCGCCGGAGCACAATTTCTGTTCTCATCCTGAAGCAAAGTTCTTAACCTGAAGCACTATTTCTGGGTTAGCGGAGTATGTACCACTGAAGTGTATGTAACCCAAGGTACCACTGTACAGTATCGCAGTTTGAGAATTGGACTGAAAGCTGCAGTGGGGGATGAGGTGGGAGGAAGGGGTTGCCTTGCAGACAACATGGCATGCTGGGGAGTGTGTGTCTTATATTTCCCTGCCAGCTTTCTGGCATTTTTTTTTTTTAACTTCCATTCTGACACTTGTGTCTCGTTCGTTTTAATTTGTTTTTAGGGTGGCCCTGAAAGGCAGCATGCAAAGCCCTGGGCACAACCACTTTTGTTTGTGTGTGTCAAGAGACGCCCGCCTACCTTAACCCCTAATCGCATACACTACACAACACAACACAACCAGCCAGCCAAGGAGCCCCTCCCCCTCAGACATCCACCAACCCCCGTAGCAACCTCCAGGCCCCTCGACCGACACCACCCCTCACTTTGGCCTCATAATCCCGCCCCCCAGCCCCACATACACAAGGGCAACCCTGGGGGGGGGGAGGCCTTTCATGTCCCCTCCTCACCTCACAGACACCCCACCCCACCTTCCCGGGCCCACCCCGCCACCTTTCCCCGCTCGCCAGGCTGCGGCCCCCGCACCTCTCGGTCCTTGAGGCCCAGCAGCAGCACTTCCTCCATGAGCGTGAGGCGCGTTTCCTTGGAGTCGCCCTTCTCGTCGTCGCCCTGCTCGTCCCGCCGGCCTTCTTCCTCCGCGCCTCCTCCGCCGCCCCCGCCGCCGCCGCCGCCCCCGGACGCCCGCTCTTTGTCGGCCGCGGCGGCGCTGCGAGAGGCCTCGGTCCGGCGCTGCACTAGGCCCGAGTTTCGCTGGGTCAGGGAAGTCATGGCGGCGGCGGCGGGGGGCCCCGGGAGGACCCTGCTGGAAAGGCTGGGGCTGCGGCCTCCCTGCCGCTCTCGCTCGCTCTCTCCGCTTCCCCCACTCCTGGCGAGAGCTGGGGCGGCCCGAGGCCCTCAGGGAGGGGAAAGGGAGGGAAGGGAGCGGGGGAGAAGGAGCTGGGCCAGCCTGGCTCCCCCTGCGGCACCAGCGGCGGCGGCGGCGGCAGGAGCACCTTCTCCTCCAATATGGCGGCGCGGGCTGACGCGCCAGCAGCTATAGCGGCGGCGGAGGATGTGGCAGGAGGAGGAGGAGGAAGACTCTGGAGGCGCCGGAAAGAGAAAGATGGGGGGCGGGGGCGGAGAGGAAGTTAAGTCGGTCAGTCAGTCGGCGGCTCAGAGGCAGCGGAGGTAAACTCTGAGGTAAACTCTTCCCCCCCCCCGCTAGCCCTCAGGAAGGGGGAGCGTGTTTTTGTTTCTGTATCTTCCGTTGGAGTCGCTTTTGAAAACTTTTTTTTATGGTGAGGAGCACCTTGTGAAGGAAAGCGAATATGCAGTATACTCTCTTTTTTTGGACGAACGTGAACACACACACAAACATGCCCAGGACATTTTGGCACCTGAGGCAGACCCCAAAATGGCGCCCCCGTTCCCTCACCCCAGGTGAGGGAAGATCTACATCAGGGGTCAGCAACCTTTTTCAGCCGTGGGCCGGTCCACCGTCCCTCAGACCACACGGTGGGCCGGACTATATTTTGAAGAAAAAAATTAACGAATTCCTATGCCCCACAAATAACTCAGAGATGCATTTTAAATAAAAGCACACATTCTAATGTAAAAACACCGGCAGGCGCCACAAATAACCGAGAGATGCATTTTAAATAAAAGCACACATTCTACTCATGTAAAAACACGCTGGGCCGGATTGAGAAGGCGATTGGGCCACATCCGGCCCATGGGCCTTAGGTTGCCTACCCCTGATCTACATCAAGGGGAAGAAAAAGCTACATCGGGATCTGCGGATACTGCCGCAGTTTCCTCCTTTTACCTCATGGGTGGGTTGGCCCTGAATGAATACAATGGTACCTCGGGTTACATACGCTTCAGGTTACGGACTCCTCTAAGCCAGAAATAATAGCTCGGGTTAAGAACTTTGCTTCAGGATGAGAACAGAAATCGTGCTCTAGTGGCATGGCAGCAGCAGGAGGCCCCATTAGCTAAAGTGGTGCTTCAGGTTAAGAACATTTTCAGGTTAAGAACAAACCTCCAGAACGAATTAAGTACTTAACCCAAGGTACCACTGTATTGTCATGGAGATCTGCTGCCCCTGCGGATCCGGCTGCCTGAGGCAGTCGCCACACCTTCCCTCCTGAGTGGGCTGGCCCTGCACACACCACATTGCTCAAGGGGAGCAAGTCAATTCACTGCATAAAAATGCCTCTTGAGCATATAGTGCACACCCCTGAGAGTTTGGGCATCCTGTATCCTGGGCCCTGCTTTTGTGATCATGTTGTTTCAGCTCCAGTGTTATGGTTGACTTTTAGCCCCTGTGATTTGCATCAAATTTTTATTGTGCTGGTCTCCTTGCACATTTATTGTGGGTTGAATTTCATGGAATGCCTTTGGATTTCCTTGTTCCAGTACTGTATTGCACTGTTTAGGAGTGAGCAGTGAGGTGGCCAAGTTCGCTAACCCAGGGTCCATATTTCCTTTTGAGGCACAGCAGAGACTGGGGTATCTTTAGGATATATAGATTATTTACACATTTATACAACCTGGGCCTATGATGAAGGGGTTTCCCAGCACTAAACTCTAAGAAGATCATTCTTCTCCCATAGGTGCAATCATCAGCCCTCATACTCTGCCTCTCTCTCCAACCCGCTTTACTATCTTCATTACATCACTCCTCTAGGCTACATTGCTTCTATTGCTTACACCCTCTCTGCTATAAGCTCTCTTTATCTGTGAAGGGAGGGGCCCTACTCAATTGGTGTCTTAACTCCCAGTTCCTTTGATGGCTTAATGGTCCATTACCCCAAGTGATCACCTCATGCAGGAGGTTATTCCTGGCTTTATTAGGTTTTGCCATTTGCTTATTCCAGAGGATTAGATGCACCTACTACACAGCTGAAATACGCACAGGTTGAGCACAGTTTTAACACTAGGTCTTAGTTAAATTCTAACATTAGCTTGATCCGGGAATTTTAGGGGAAGTCTAGCACCCACAACTCCTGAAAATATGTGTGTGTGTGTGTATTACACACAGAGAGAGGAAATGCAGGCAATCATACAGCTGTCTTGTAAGAAGCTGTCAAAAGGGAGATTGTGCTGGTATTTGTATGGTTAGTCACTAACTGAGCAACCCTAACCAGGCAGATGCATTCCTGGCTACCAAGGCAAATCTCACCTCCTAGTCTGAGACACCTTTGTTCATGTCAGCAGTCTATTCATGTTAGTGTTGCGGTGTTAAAAGTAGCTAACTCATACATCTATTTTTATTAGCTTTTTCTTCTTCAGAAAAGCTGTGTTACACGGCTCCAACTTTTAAAAAGGTTTTTTAAGTATGCACCTCCAGTGGAGTCTTTCTGTGATCTATAAGCAAATAAACCGCATCAGGGAACTATATACCATGTACCGGTAAGTGTCTATACGTATCAGCACATGGAGTTTCTAATATATACAAATGCCATCAACCAGCCATGTTCTCTTCTAATGTACTCCACACTATTTCTCCCTCCAGCAGACATTCAGCATTCTGTAGCCACTGAGAATTGCCTCATTAGGACTATAACCTCGTTTTCTTTCCTAAATAATTATTCTTTCTTTCTTTCTTTCTTTCTTTCTTTCTTTCTTTCTTTCTTTCTTTCTTTCTCCTTTTCTTCTGGATCTATGTTTTTATTTTACTTAATGTTTTAGTCTGGATAAAAAATATATTTGATAATCTTCTTTATATTTCTCTTTATAAACTCTAATAAAAATTTTCAAAGAAAAGAATAGAATCCTATACAGCACCAAAGGCAGCCTTAAGTGCTTGAGTGCCTGTTCTTTTTATTTAAGCTGGAAATGTTGCAGCACATCCTTAGACACTCTGCTGCAGGTACCATAGAAAATATCCCCTGTTATGTTTATGATAGAAGACTAGAATTATTGGGCCGGATAGCTGTCAAAAACCTGGGGTATCAGCTCATAGTCACTGTGTGACTATTATCCAAAAAAATACTCTTAGGACCAGTTCACATTGCTCCATAAATGTTATACCCTTAACCATGCATATACATACTTTAGGAAACTGTGATTGACTGAAGTTCCTTGTTAAATGTACACTTAATAGCGCGCACAGTTTTGCCTTTGCGTAGGTGAAATGGCCCTGCCATTTTTGTGATGGAAGTCTAACGTTATAAAAAGAGAGAGTGCATGAATATGTCAGTACAGTATATCTTGTCTTTACTGCATTTGACCACAATGCCTTCACTGTGTTTTCCTATTCATATGCATAAATAATAGTCCAGAACTCTGGAGTGCATATGGTACAAACAGAATGCTCCTGTAAATGTAGAAGTTTTCACATAAAGTGATAAGCATGAAGAATAAATTGCTAATCAGAAAATGGCAGTGTTGGGGAGCCAGTCTCAAGCTGAATGAACCTATATTTATGAAATGACAGGATAGGCGGCAATGGCAATTCCAAAGAAGGCATATAATTATACACTCATTAACATGCATTAGTATGATTTCAATCAAACAGTGCAAAATTACAGTGAACCAGAGGGGAGGGTTTAATAATGCCCAGCACAAAAAAACCCTCTTAAAGTACATTCAAATGTACCTTTTTAAGGAGTACCCCCACATGAACAGTAAAGTACTTAATAACTCCAAGCATTTAGAAAGCACACTTTAGGGGTCCAAACACTTTCTTACCTCATCCCTGTAATCCTTAAAATAAATCTGCAAGGTAAGCCAGCATTATCCCCATGTTGCAAATGGAAGACTGAAGCAGAAACAAAATTGTGACTTGCCGAAGATCACTTAGTTTACTGTTGAGAAAATTGACTGGCATCTTACAGATACCTGGGGCAGAAATCCTTGTGACCTGCTGCAAATCTCTCTGCAGCAAATATATTTAACAGCGTTTTATTACTTAAAGCAGTTTTATCCCACTCTTTATTCAAAAAGGTTCCTAATGCAGCTCATAATCTAAAAACCACAACCAACAAGGAAAATAGGTATTGGCTGAGGGAGGAAAAAAGCAAGCTCAGGTTCTTAAAATTAGTAGTTCTTAAAATTACAGTGTGTTACCAGATAAAAACCTATTATCTTAGTACATATTCATGGACCTTCTAATCTGGCAACCATTACTAGTGATGATTGCACACCACAGATGTTACTGCTTAATTGGGTAAATTACCCCAAAACTTAGATCAATAATTATCTTGATAATCTTTCTCATGTAGAGGAACCAACAACATTAACACAAACTGATGTGATTGAAATATTTACACAACATGACAATCTATTGCTGCTAATGGGAATGAGCCTAATAGCAGCATGACATGTTTTTTTGGGTGTGTGCATGTGTGATGCCTTTGTCAGAAACAAAAGAATCAACATACCGAGATGGACATAAAAGCAAAATGTAAGTGTGGCCACTAGTATTAACAGAGCATGTATATCACATCCAAGAATACACTGTCATCACAATGCATGTTTATGACATATTCACGTGTTCATAGTGCAGACATATGGTCTAATTTCCACTTCTTAAACATATTAGCCAAGCCAATGTATCCCTTCAAAACAATATTTAAGAAAGGGTAATTGGGAGGGGGGCTGGGGGCAGCGGTTAATATATGAAAGGAACTCAGCATTATTTTTGTCTGAACCATGACAGGGATAAAAGGGTTAAGCCAGTGTTTCCCAACCTTTTTTGGGCAAAGGCACACTTGTTTCATGAAAAAAATCTCGAGGCACATCACAGCCCCGTGACGTCAGCGCGCAGCGTCACGCCGGGAGGGACGCACGAAAGTGTAAGTTTCAATCCCCCCCCTTGCCTTCCTTCTGTGCCAACCGCCAAAAAGCCAAGAATCGCGGGACCGCCGGCGGAGGGGGGAGGGCGAGCGGAGGCAGCGGCGAGCCCCGTTCCTCCCCATCCGCCCCATTCCGTGCAAGGAGCGCGAACAGGTGTGAGAAGGGGGTCAAACCTGCGGGCCGGCGCCGGGGAACCTCCAAGCTTTGGGGGTGGGGGGGGAGGA